GCAATTGATAAAAAAGAAAGTTATGGGCTCGCGTGAGTAGAAAACAAAAGATATCTATTCTAGTTCTATCATCAGTTATGGGTTCGAATCTAAGAGAAATTCTAGATAATGTTTCCTACCCTGAAATTTTCTTGTCTTTCCTGAATGCTAAGGAGAAGAAGAGGATTGAGTCAAAAGAAAAAGCTATTTTGGAGTTTTATCAACAATTTGCTTGTGTAGGTGGGGACCTGGTATTTTCGGAGTCCTTAAGCGTGCTATTTTTTCCATTACTTAGAACTATCAGCACATCCCAATCCATGATTTTCTATCCGTGGTATGAAGTTATTTGTGCAGCGCGGGTTAGTGATCCTTGAAGAATGGTTTACGTAGCCCACGATATTTCTCACCTGACAACACACCCTGCACGGAGTCCAGCACGATGGAGATCGTCAGGAGTGGGGTGATGCCTGCAAACTTTGCCACAATCACCGTGCTCTCCGTGAAGAGGCTAGCCCAGAGGTCATGGCCGACAATTAGCAGCAGAATGAACGAGAGGGCAAGGAACACTGACAGCTTCATCGTCACCATGACCGCATTCTTTGCTCTGTCCACGTTACCGGCCCCGATCTCATTTGACACCCTGGTGCTGAAAATGGTGCAAACAACGCGATATTAACCACCACAATTAAGTGAACCAAGAACCGGTTCTAGACAGCAATGACACACTAAGAACCTGAGACATGGACTCTGAAAAGGCCGGGAGACGTACCTCACAGCGGCACTGAACCCATAGGTGATCATGTAGGAAATGGCCTGCGTGCTTGCGCTGCATTTAGAAAAAAGTTGGTGCATCAAGTCCGATTGTTTGATAAATGATGCACGAGCAATAATTGTTTATGGAGTTTTGTCAGTCCAGACCCGTACCATATGGCAATCAACGACGTGCTTGCAGTGGAATTCGGCAGTAGGCCGGCGATCAGCACGAGGAGCTCAATAGCCCAGTACTCCAAGCTGAATGGACTCAATAAATTTCAGGTTGCATCTGTCCAGACTCAAAACCAATTTGCAGGGGACAACATGTTTATATATACGCATGTTTGTTGACAAGTGTAAACGTACTAACCAGACCATGATGGCAGAGGGCATGGCGAGCTTGATTGTCGGCAACACATAGTTGAAAGCGTCGGTGGAGAAGCCCTTCCACGTCTCATCGAACTCCTTGGACCACATCACGTATGCGAGCAACATCAGGCACGAGACCCAGAACGTGGCTGAGATGGCCAATGAAGCGCCGGTGAGGCCCAATCCGACCACATTCACTAGCAGGTAGTTCACGGCGATGTGGAGCACAAACGGCACCATGGAGCAGACAACAAGTGGCACAACAATCGACTGTGTCTGCAGATACCGCAGCAGACACTGTAGGAAGGAGTAGGCGAACAGCCCGGGCACCTGGTAACGGATGAACACCGCGGCGGCGTGGGACACCTCAGGTTCTTGATGCAGGCACAACAGAATTGGCTCCGTGAACAGCCACACAACGGAGATGAGTACGGACACCACCGCTGACATGATGAGCGACGACTGCAGGTACAAGCCCAGCAGGCGGTACATCCGGGCACCATAGGCCTGTCCACACAGCGTCTCCATGGCGCCGCTCATGCCGGTCTGTAAGTTGCATCAGTTTCCCGAATCCATCAGTAATTAAGCATGCAGCATATATTATGGAAGGTTCTATGTGTCCATCAAATTCTTTCTTCGATGCAACGCAACATTGCTCATTCCAAACCAACTTGTCAAATTATTTTTCTGCTTTTATTTTTTTTCGAATTGTAAGGTGAAGGATCTAGGGTGAATCATATTGTCTTCTTTAACATGGATGGAACTGAAACAAAATGGCATCAGCTAAACGTATAATAAAGGGAAAATGTCGGAAAATTATAAAAAGTTGATGGAATGTTTACGGGGGCGGATGGAGTGTGGACATACTCGGAAGGTGGAGCGCCATATATGTGTATTATTACTATCCTCCTCTTGGACGGATGGAGTATGGACAGACTCGCAAGGTGGAGTGCCATGGGCGGGAATGTTGGGGCAGCCAGTAGGCGGCCCCGCTCAATTTGGCCAGGTGGAGTGGAATGTGTTGAGCCATCAATCATTGTCGATCATCGGCCAGTGATGATGGCAACATGAAGTTTTGTTTACCAACCGATACATGTACATGCACACTAGTTCTATCAAGCTAGTATGTATAAGTATATGTTTTCTACACTCCTTGTGTTTTCGTTTTACTACATTTGTGTCGTGTTTGTTTGTGAATGAGGGTGGCAGACTTCAGCGGAGTCGGTCAGCTGGTTTCGTGACAGAAAACGTGGGAGGTGTCCACCATATTGAAAGGTTGATAGACAAAGGTAAGTTGCCTTGAAATGTTTGATATTGCAATATTTTATGTGGTTGAAAACGAATGTTGTATTCTCTAGGATGCTAATAATTTTTTAAGCCTTTTGGACCTGTTTTATTAGTACGTCCAACATCTGGTTTTTTTTTCTGTTTTAACACCGGATGTTGCCTATGTTACTGAAGTTTCTTATGAATTCTCGCATTGTGTTGGAGGTGCTGCATACATACAATAAATGTGTTGGGTGGGATTATTTTAAGAGCTGACACAACGAATTCATTGCTTGGTAAATATTTTCATCCATTACCATCTATCATATACCATTTATTACCAATAATTAGGGACATGAAGGGAGGTGTTCAGGAACCACATGTCAAATGATAACCAGATTAATTCGGTTACTATTTTCTAGAAATAATTTTATCTCCAACTATTTAGCAGTGGATAGGGCTACTCCTGCGGAGCTGCCCGCCTGCCTAATTAGGACTGGAGCGAGGGCTAAGGTACTTCAAAGTGTGTTACATGAAAAAATTGCAAGTTGACACATAGTTTCTATTATATTTCTAAAAATGTATATATTTGTACGTAAAAACGAGTATGCTAAAAATATGATACATATTATTCAAAAAATAGTATATATACTATCTAGATATTTTTATGTCCAACCTGTGATTCATGGATAGTGGGCCGCGTGCCCCTTTTTTCATGCGGGTGGATAGTGGGCGTGTGGAGATGAAAGAAGCAGGAGGATGCCCAATGATTTAGAAGATCCAGCTAAAAAAATCAAGCGCGTGACGTATAGACAAGTCTTTAAGCATATCCGAACTTGTGGTGCCACTGTGCAAAGGTTGTGGCTGCTGGACGTACAAGTGCGTATCGTTCAGACAAAATAGTGCCTGCAGTTGGCGCCAACAAATATACTATGAATTTCAATTGTCCAGACTTGGCTAATTTATGGTCACTGACGACCATGTGCTGCATGGGCAAAGCATGGTTACATTCGTTGTAAATATCCCCTACAACAGTTTTAACTCCTAGAAAGATTTAGGAGCTTCAAAAACACACACCCTCTGTTAAAGTTACAGTTTATGTCCTATGTGTATCTTCAGATAGTCAATTTGATCGATGAAATGCGAGTTATATGTAATCAAACAGATATTATTAGAAACTTAGTTGTGTGGTAGAAACTTCTCTGTGTACATTGACCGGCATTGTTTACAAGTATGTGTGCAACTTACGATAAGATGAAGATATTTAACTGGGCAAATCTTTTCTACTTAATTAATCGATGAGGTAAATTTTTGGCCTTTATTTCAATAAAAAGAAAATGCAGATACGTTCATTGGGTAACAGAAACGAGATCTCTATGAGCAGGACCTACGTGGGGCGACATTCGATATACGATCGTAAATCAAGCATCCCCACACATATCTAGGGACTAGGGCGGTTCAATTAGATAAGCGTGATCAAAATTAAGAGGGTGCGATACCAGTACGTACAACAAAGGCGTAGCCGGTGACGGTGGCCCAGGAGTTGCCGAGCGTGGCGCCGGCGAGGTGGACGTTGCCGAGGTGGCCGGAGAACATCACGGACACCAGCGGGATGGCGTAGTAGGACATGTTGGTCAGGACCATCGGCAGCGCGAACTGTAGCTGCGCCCAGGCCTCCTCCGTGTCGATCAGGCGGCGCAGCCACGCCGGCGAGGGACGCTTTGCCTCGCGGCATTCGCCGAAGGGCTCGCCGGCGCCGAGCAGCGGAGCCGAAGACATGTCGCCGGCCGGCTGGCCAGATTAAACGGGAGGGGAGGGTAGTGGCTAGCTTAGTTTCGTGGTTGGTGGTGCTGGTCGCGATGGGAATGGCTGTGGTGGCCATCGACGAGTGTGATGCGGCGGCAATATATGGACGTGTGTATGTGTGAGAGGAGCAGCAGCCATGACTTGCACGTTTCTCCCGACGTCCTGTAGCTAGCGCGTGGAACGCGCGGTGGTGGGCTTGGTGGATGCCAATCGGTCCAATTAGTGTGGTGTCTGTGACTCTCAAATTTACTTTTGGAGTTTGCTAAGCAGTGGATTTATTAAATGGAATGAGTAGATCTCATCTACTACGTGAAGGGAGTAAGGGCATCTTTAAGGAAGACCCTCAAACTTTCCCGGACGGTAGTGTCTGAACCACTTTGCTATCTAACAGAGATTTATATATGTCTGCTTAGCAGTCAGGATATACGGATTCTGGTATTCAAGAGACAAATATAGGGCTTTGCCGGAGTCCAGACATGCATTTGAACAATCACATGCATGGTCCCATTCTTCTCTCTTTTCTCCCAACCGCATATGCATGGTCTTTTCTCTCTCTCCTTCTAACTGAATAGTAAACCACAAATATCACATGACATGCATGGCCTTCACATACTTTTTCTCCTTCCAACCGGATACTATAAAAACGAACATATACCGAAGACATTTGTCCGTCAGCCTTGGAGATGCTCCAAGTGGACATCATAGAATTTTTCTTTCAATTTTTCGTTCTCTTCTACTCCCTTCGTCTAGAATTACTTGTCGCGGGAATGGGTATATTTTAGTTCTAGACTAGATACATCAATTTCTAGCTATTTCTGCGACAAGTAACTCGGGAAAGTGAGAGTATTAATTCGCTTTTTCTACTTTTTTGTTTCTTTAATTATATCTATATATATATATCGTATTTCCTTTTCTACAAAATACATCAATTTAGTTACACATGTTGGTGTGCATGCGAAATTGGTAGACTCTGCAAGGAGGAAAACGGGTCAAATCAGACTGCAACAAGGGCTAACCTCATGGTGACTTGTGCAGATGGAGGTAAGGGCTTGTAGCTATTTTCTTCCCAAATGTTAGCGACACAATCACAATCCATGAAAGCTAGTGGCATATATCGAATATCAGCTCTAAATAGAGGCACAGAGCAAGTTTTCTCAATAGAAGATCAAACAATCAACCCGGGAACCAAATCAAATTCCAACCCCTTCCATTTTATACACATGCGAGATCCTGGATCGATGCATAGAAGAAGAAGAAACGGCACTGCCATGGCCTGGATCGGTACTTCTCCACAAATGTGTTGGTGGAGAGCCTGCTTCATCCCCTGTTGGACTCCAGGTGACGATTGAACACCCTCATCTATCAGCTCTGGCATGACATCATCAATGCATGCACAACGGAGATGTTGAATCGTCCGAAAGTCATCTCGTAGAACTCCTACAAAGCCATCTCCTATGTCTCTGACGACCTGTCATCATCATCATTGATGGCGAGTTGTACCGAGATGTGGAGGACCTCTGAGCCTCCTAGTTTCCTCTAAACTGATCCACAACTGGCTGACACCAGCAACGAGTGTCTTTGCCTCCATGAGAATGCGAGGGGTGTAGGCGTCACATCACCTTGGTCAACCCGGCCATTGTCGAGATTCTACTTATGTTGGAAAATATGCTCTAGATGCAATAATGAAGTTTTTGTTATTTTTATGTTCATAAATAAATTTATATTTAGGTGATATGCTTGCAATGGTTCTTGAATGTGGCATTTGAAGGAAAACCTATTTGCATGTGCGGAGAGATAAGCCGCAAATCAGATCCCTAGTCTAGCCTCTTGAGTAGCACACGTATTTGTTGATGGTTCTATTTTTCTAACCATTAGCATTGTTAACATAAAAAAGGATACTAACAATAATGAGAACTGATTATTAGCGTTCTACTCCTTCATGAGGCGCTCGGATTTAGCCACGACAGCCCTCTTCTCCTTGGCGAGGCGCTTGGACTCCTCAAGCCCGATGCAATGCCTTGGTATTTTTGTGTGGTGGTGACAGGCATCCATTTCATCCATGGTCAACAGCCACCAAATATGTTGCAGACAAGCTCATACTCCGGAGGCTAACCTTCACGGACTTGCATGACCCATAGACGAACCGACTAGATCCTGCTCAGGCAGCCTGCCTCGTGCGCGAGCTGCACTCACCTATCAAAATAGATTACCTAACTCATCATGTGCTACCTTGTACAACTATGTTCATCTTGCATATAGCTTATAGAGAAGAAAAAGATATGCTAATGTGTACCGATCCTTATTGATGAGCTAGATGGATAATTTTGGTTTATCAACCTTCTTGCTTGAGGATGAGCAAGGTTTAAGCTTGCGAAGGTTGATGTGTTTGTTTTATGCACACTTTTTAGAGTATGTCTTAATGCCAAAATCTCTCATATCATATCCATCTAACACCTTTTCATGTGCACAATGCATAGTTCGCCGCACAACCTTTAGTTTTTATTAGTTTTTCTTTGTTTTGTTGTCTTTGTTGTACTATTGGCATGTTCTTGGACTTGGCACATCAAGAAGGACCAAGTTGGTGTTAAACATGAGAAGTTCCATGCACTAGACCTAGGCATTTTGGGAGTGTCAAAAATGACATTTTTTTCAAAGTGCTCAAAATAAAGGTCCAACATTGGTGGATCGGCGTCATCCACGCAATTCCAACGAGGCCAAGAACATATAAATCGGAGTTCGCATGAAGAATTTGTGACCATTCTATCAAATGGTCCAGAGTGTTTGACGGCGCTCATACGGCCGCATGCAGTCGTACCGGTGATTGTATCGCTCCGAGATAGCTTCGTAAATTTGCCATAACATTACAGGTTTTGCACTGATTTTGTCCTTATTTTTTCCTACGCAATCCTCAGCGAAGAAGGGATGTTTTGGGAGATGAATTGACTCCCCAGAGCGCTTGAGTGATAGTATAGGAGCCACATCAACAGAGGAGACACGAGAAGGCCTCCTGTATATTCACCTCCAACCCTAAATGTCGGGAATCATCTCATTTATCATCACCAAGTTCCATCTGTTGTTAGCACATCTCCATTGCTACAACTCCACCATAAAGAAATGACCAACATATGGAAGAAGAAGAGAGGAGGCTCCGCCCATGTCCGGCACCGGCCTTCCTACCGCCATGCCTCTCACCTTCCCCAACACCATGGTTGCTTGTAACTTGTACCTATATCATCTCTAGGTTTGGGTTGTTCCCGTCAGTTCTCAGGGAATTAGATGAACTCTAGTATATACTGAACCAAACGCCTATGCGAGATATGAGATTCGCTTCTGCATGTTTATGTTAATGACCTTCTGGGTGAAGTCGACCATCCAACATTTGCCGATTTTGGACGAAAGTATACTACTATTGGCTCGATGGTAGGTTGAGGAGGTTGGTGGTGATGATGTGTATCTCCTCCCTTTCCTGATTGTTGCAATAGGGGATAAATGAAGACCGCCTTTGGCTACGTCCATGGGAAAACCCTTCACCGATCATATTCTAAGTGGGGATGAATAGTTGTAGTGTATGTGCTACAGGGCTGCGGCATGTGTGCACACATTTGTACCCGACTCCGCTTACAAAGACAAACATGAGAAGTGGTTTAAGTATCCAAACCTAGAACTATGAGCTTGCATATGACAAGTAGACCGTACCGGTAGTGATGACTCCGAAAACCTCAAAAATACCATTATTACTCAAGCGGCACCTCTCTATTTCATCCGCTTTTTTATTTACGGTTTTTAGCTCCGCTTAGTTGTTTAGATAAAATCACCCTTATTACCGTTCGACTAGCAACCGATTAAATGAACTATTTCCAGATAACAATATGGGTGTGAACCTAGCTGCATTAGTGAAAACGTAGTTGCGGGGTTGGTAGTTGTCTGTGCATAGCTCCCTTTCAAATTGACAAATTCTACTTATAGTGAATTACAATAGCCCAATGCACTTATAGGTCATCATTGACCGACACGCGTGCAACAACAATTACATGAGACTGGTAGACATGTAGTTTTATTGGGACAATGCACCTGTTTTTTAAATTTCGTTTTTTATTTTTGGTTTTTCTTCTCCATCTTCGTTTTTTACTTTAAATCATTTGGGACTTCAAACAACTTCTAAAAAATTTTAAACTGAGAATTTTGAAATAAATTTTTTAATAATTCATAAATGTTTGTGGATTCCGAAAATGTCTGCTATTTTTAAAAAGGAAAAGAAAAACCCAAAATAAAAATAAAAAACGAAATTTAAAAACAGGTCAGCCAGACATAGGCCTGCCCAAATAGGCGCGTTGTGTCTTCTCCCACCGTGAAGTGCGCAGTATAGAAGGTTCCTACTGCATGAGCCGGCCCAGGAGGCGAATCCCTTATTGTGAAACATGTTTTATCACTTAGAGGAAGCATCACTGGGTAATATTCTACAACTTTGGGGGCAATTTCAATGACGTACCTCTAGAAGCAATAACCGATTTATTATCCTACAAGCAAAAGAGTCGGTCCGTTGCAATGCAAGAATTTTTTAAAAATATTCAAAGGCCATGACCACATTTTATTACATCACCGAGATACACTATCACTCTTAATTTTGTGAAATCATGAACAAATTGAAATAATGGACATTTTTTAAATTCGTGCTCATATTTGAAATCATATTTTCCAAATTTGTGACCACTTTTCCAAATATTTGAACATTTTCCAAAATCAATAACATTTTTTGAATTCATGAACATTTTATACTATTTGCAAAAAAAATAAACATTTTTTAAAATAATTTTCTTGAATCGGCGGACATTTCTAGGATCGGGGAACAATTTTCTCGAAATTGATGGAACAATTATTGCAATTCACAAACATTATTTTGATTTAACGAACTATTTATTAAATGCATTGTCATTTTTTGAATCTACAAACATTTTATGAATGAATAAACTATT